TGTTACATTAGGTAATGTGTGTCTGTCAGTCAGTTTGCGATAGGCTTAGTACACGGTCGGTTATGATCTGCGAATGCCACAGCCTAGCAGATGCAGTGGGTATTCTGTTAGTATTTTGTTTGTACTATATTTTTAACCTGTGGTGTGTGGTAGATTTTTTTACTACGATAGCTGAACGCGGATCATATGATTGTGTACTCAAAGCCATACGAATAAAGTGTTTAATGTTCTACGCTGTTCGGTTAATCGTATACGTGCTAACACTTATTGAGGCCGAATGTTCGTGAGAGTCAGTGCAATTTATTCCATAAGCATAATTATAAAAGCAGCATTATAGAATTTGTGTACGTGTCACATAAATATTCTAAAATCTAAGATATACTGAGGCAGGTTTGGCTACAAATACTCATCTGTTTCAGTTGTTATACAATGAGTACAGCGTTATATAATTCTGATCGTTATACATTGCGTGCATGTCGTAAGGCAGCTGTTATGTAGATATGAAATTAGAAGGGTTAGCGTTCGAATGAAATTCCCAAAATCTTCCACTCTCTTTCACCTCTCGATAACTTCTCGGGTTATCTCCTACGAAATTAAGTTTTCTTATGATATCAACTTGTATTATAGTACAAAATGGCAGCTAAATATGTTTTGTATCGCTTCAAATTAAAATAGATCTATACGACTCTTTGGCCGAGCTTATTCTATGGGAACAATATTGGTATAGTAGACACGTAACGTGTAATGTTGATAGTTGACATGCACGCAGTGTGGCCCGAACATAACCAAACCTGGCTCCGACTTGTTACTACGCTCGACGTATTATAGTGAAGTAAATAAACAACATAAACTGCCCACAAAAGCTATAAACGATTCACATACGATATGCCTTATTTCGCGTTACCTGTAATGTGTACCTACATTGTTGATGAGTGGAAATCATAGTATATAGAACCTAAAATTAATCGATCTCAAGTACCACTAAGCGTTGTTGATACGATAAGTGTTTCAGTTCTCGCGGGCATTATTTCGGTTCATTTGGACTCGTCTGTTGTACAGTGGCCGTCGCAAGCCTTCTTCGTCTGAATCTTAGTAAGTTAGAACACCAATCGTTGCATCATCATTCGACGGGCTATTCAGATCGTGTCACCATCCATTCTACGCGTTTAAGCTGTAAGTTAGGTCTGAGTGATGCGTGTTATGTCTTCTTTACATGCCATTAAGTGTGTTGTATATTTACATGTATGTTTGGGGTTTTGGAAATGCATTTCTTAATATACGTATAACAGCGTGAGACGATCGGGCTGGCACCGCGGGCCGCGCGCTAGTTCGCTTCGGATACATCTTTTCGACTAATATTAATTTTATTCTAGCATTAGGCGATTCTAAAATAGAAAACGAAGCACAAAATGTCACGGAGTGTCTTAGGTGCTCCGATAGGGGCGTAATTGATATGATAACGAACACACTGCCATTATAACGTATAAAACATGGTGCGATCCTGTATGCGTGCGATCATAACGGATATCTAAGTTTAATTTCTTAGTGTCGGGCAAGCGTGTGCAGGCGCGGCGTTGCTTAAAATATCAACCGCCTAATGCTTATGTGATAAGATTGGATGTGTAGACGATATTCGATATGAATGTATAATCAATCATTTGCTCAGTACCGTCAATTATGGTACTAAAGTTATGTTATCGAAGTTATTTTACGACGAAGTCAAGAGTGAAACTCGAAAAATATAAATAGAGGAACACTGCACCTGCACTCGAGCGTCCAATATAGGTAATGAAGTGATCACGAATAATATGATTGTCGCTATGATACGATGCCTTATATCTGAGATGTGATCGTAAGCGGTCCTCTAAACTTCTCTCGAAACGCTGCTTTACGGTCCACATCTGAGGTTTGTGACAAATATAACTGCCATTCGATAAGTAATTATACATCATTGACGCGTAGTTTCATGTAGCTTCGTAGTTTTCGGATCCCGTGGGTGCACAGCCGGTCGTATTTGATACATATTATTCAATTTCGAAATTGTAATAGATTTATTAAGTATGTAATAATCTCACATGAGAAAGTAATAAGTAATGAGATACCCTATATAATTTGTGTCTTAGCTGATAATGGAACATTAGTAAGATGATAAGTTTATATCGCTTATTGGAATAATAATGTAAAATGGAGACAGCAATTTTGAACACCGAGTTGGTCGAAGTGTGGGAAGGAGACGACAAATGTACGACAAGACTGGCTTAGGAAAGCACGATGGTTCGACTGTTACAATCCGATGTACTTCTTCGATTGCCTTTTTTTTAAACCTATACATTTTACTTTAGTAGGGAAGCGTTAAGTATTGTAGTGACCAAACGTGGCACGTCCAGTCTATTAATAATAATCGGTGGACTTCTGGACAGGTCCGCATTCTGTCCATTGTAAATAAAAAATTAGAATCTGTCATATGTGTAACATATGACGTTTAATTTTATTCATCTAGAGAAGTACAGATGGCTGTTGTTATTTTTATATTATTTGGGTAGAAGTATATTTTTTGTAAATGACCTCTGTATTTATCTTTTGTAAGCTTTGTAAGCCATAGGGACTTAGTATAGTGTACGAGCTATGAACATTGTGATTTCTATTATCATTGAATTTGTATTTACTGGAATAATTTGTTCTGCGTATATATTCTTCGTTTCGTCAGATTTTCTTAATAATTTTGTTACTTCAGAGTGCAATATGTACAAATATTTACATAAATATAAAATGTACAGTCAATTTTTAGTTTTAATGTGTCAACGCAATATATTTCGCTATTCATTCGTTGAATGTACACGTGGAGAGCATAATAAGCTATATCACAAGTGAGTGCGACAACTCACTCTCACTATTGTGTTTTTCTAATACTTAAGGGATTAATTTTATATAGAAGGACTAGGTGATTATTGTATTTAAATTTGCTAATTTTTTGTAGCAGATTAGATTTGTTTACATTGATAAGGCGAATAATGTAAATTTTGAATTGATTTTAAAGTGATTTAGTTGTTATTTAGTAACGAATTTTCTTATTAGGTGTAACTGGCAGCCTCGTGGACTGGCTTCAAGTCCACTGATACCAGTGCGATTTGTGCAATGTCTGTTAGGAATTAATTAGTCGTACCGCCGGCCGCCGCGCGCGCGCCACCCCACGTGACCTATTTATTGAGCCGCCGCTGGCAGCAGTGGCCAATCCTCGTACTACCCGCGCGGACAAACACTGCAAAGTTTCAGGCAGCTCTCGCTCACTCTACATGCTATAAGAACGGGAGGTATCCGAAGCAGTTCTTTCTGTTTATCATCGCGGGTTGTAGTATACAGTGCGACCGCGATCTTCAGGCTAGCGAATTTTTGGCGCTCAACCTACGACCAGTAGAATAAACCAAAAAATCGTTAGCTCTTAAGATCTCGGTCGCGCTGTACATTAAAGCCATAGCAAACCGACTCGCGTGGAGTGGCGCAGGCGCACCAATCCTCCGTCATGTGGTTTCTGTCTGATACTTGCACTGAGCACTCACCAAGCGCAGTGGAACATTAAGGCCAAGTTACTCACTTCTAGTGCCACGTCGAACGATATAGGAAGGCTGATTTACGCTCTAAGGGCCCATTCCGTGTTTCTCGAAACACATTTTTTTATTATTTCATAAATCTTAGTCCGCAATAACTATTATTTTCTTTCTAATACTTTGCCTTAGTAAATCCTGTGTTATTAATTAATTTAACAACAGCGGTGAAGCGAATTAGATATAGGGAACAGACATGACGATATGTTAAAATTTTAGAGAGCCAACTTTTATAAAAGATAATAACTACAAAATAAACCGAGAAAAGGTGTGTACAAAATGAGGAAATTTGTATGAAACATTGTTATGCGAATAAACTTACACCTCAAGATAAAATTATAAAAAATATTATTGTCTTTTATTTCTCCTTTACAAACATCGGTAAGGTTTCTTACTTCATTTATCACTTATAGCAACACAGTAATTTATTATGAGTAGATAGCGACATCTATATTTAAAGTTATTTGCGAAGAGACCGTTTGTACAAAGCGTTCACCCGCATCATTTTTGTCTTTGGGAATCCCACCAATTTACACCACTTATTAAATAAACTGCCTAGTAACTAGGCCCTAGTTACTGACATCATTTTGTATTACCTACTCAATCATTTTTTTTATTATTATTATTTTTTACTTAATATCAAAATCGTATCATAACAAGTTTTACTTAATTGCTAAACGACGACCATCTCAAGATACTGATTACTGACCTCTTGGTAGATTTCATTTTCCTGTTTTGTATAAGTGGCTGTGTGGGTATTTTATCGGAATAACACATGTCGATGTGTGGAGACGTAGGGCAACCAAGTCTTCATAAGGATATAAAATTCATTTATTTTTGCAAATAGGCTTTAAAAAAGCGCTTTACACGTCCCAATATTAACCCTACCACTGCTTCGGGACAATAAATGGGCCAGTGCTGAGAAGAAGCAGCGCAAGAAACTCAGTCACTATTTACACCGCCGCACTTTTACAGTCCGAAAAAAAATTTGGTGATTTGAGTTCTTTATTAATTAACTTTAGTAAACGAATAAATTAAACTAAACATTCTGAAAATCGTGAAGCAATCAGTTAGTTACCTATGGGCTATGTGTATTAAATATCAAGAGCTATCTGCAATATTATAGTTATCTTGGTGGTGCGTAACTTTTTGAAACCCGAAAAAGCAGCCCACACTATTTTTTATTTTTATTTTTGAACAGAGATATCGCATCGGGTACACCGGGCCGATAGTACGGGCGTAGTTAATTCTTTACAGTCATACTTAGTTAGTTAAAAGAAAATCATTGGATCAGACATTGTCTGTTAAGCATTTTCCTCAAAGATAACATCGGAAAATCCAGGATTCCCAGTATGTTTGGTCGCCCTAACAGTGCCAATATGGGTTTCTTCAATACCGTGGCTTCATTGTTGATCATTCGTGTAATAAGTGCGCGCGCGTCTTGAGGACAGTATTTAAAATGTTTCGACAAACGTTGTTTATTTCTCTTTTGTTTTTCCTCGTGGTGAAAATTTCCCGTGAGTATATTATTTATTTATTCAATTGTTTAAGTACAAAATGACCTGGAATAGCGGTTGGTGAATTTAGAATTACAGATTTGTTCAGGACGGTTTATATGAAAAATGTATGAAAAGAAACATTTATTATTTAATCAATTTTAACACAGAGGCTTAAATGTAAAATTAAAGGTATCTGTACTCCTTTTGCAAAATTAAAATTGTAATTTCAGCCTATTTGGAAAAAGTTTGAGTTTGAATTATTCAAGAGCTGTTTTATGAACATGGAGTGTCATTATTTGTTCCATGTCTTATTATTTTCTTTATAATAATCATTAATATTGTACGATAGCAAATGCTCAGAATTTGTTACGTAATAAACACATCGTTTTGAAACAGATTAAAAGAACCGGTCACACAAGTTAATTATTAAGGCTGGGTTACACCATCTTACTTTAACATTGACGAACGTCATAAATCTGTCATATTCTATACAAAAACACCGGTTAACGTTAAAATTTACTGTCAAAGTTAGGTGGTGCAACTCAGCCTAAGACTGACGCCAAAATTAATTAGAATATTTGCATCTTGTTGATAGACCATAAAGTTGTTATTATATGGAATTAAGCTTTAATTAATAAAAAGAAAAGAACTTTGGAATTTGTTTGAGAAACTGCTTCAGTCACGATAAAATAAATACTAATCTGGGGATTTCTAGGAAACTTGTTTTTAAATAGAATTCATAAGGATATGATAGTTATAAATATGAATGTTGCTTGAATGATTAAACTTAAGGTCCTATGTTCCCCAGATGGGGCAAAGGGCGGTTATTTGAATGAACGTTTTTCAATTAAACCCCAATAATTTTTCCAAAACCATAGATTCGCAGCGGGAAAAGAAGTTTTTTCGCAAAGACTACAAATACATAGAAGCGACTGAGAGCTTTTACAAGATCCATACCATTCACAAAACGTGGCAAGATGCCAAGGATGTGTGTGCCATGGAAGGAGCCACGTTCTTTGTGCCCGAGGACCAGGGAGAAGCTGATGCTGTGTTGGCGTTTTGGAATGCAACACAACCCTACTCATGGGTGTACATTGGAGTGTCCAGCTTAATTGTGAAGGGTGTCTTCGAGACTGTAGAGGGTAAGTGAACCGTAAGACAAAGTACTAATATGGACATTCATTAGTGTAGGTACCTACTAATATCAGCCTACCTATAGCTGAAGTTAAGTCTACTAAAGACTTCGTAGCAAAATCGCATTTGTTTAATAACTTCAAATTCCACAGTGTTAAACTCGTAAAACTCAACAACGTGTTTGAATTTTGGCGATGATAATAAAAAGTAAAATATGGTAAACGGACACGGGCCGTTTACCTCTATGAATTTTTTGGCCTAGCCTGATGCAGGTTTAAAATAAAATGATTTATCGAGAGCGGTAATTTCAGTAATAAGTTTTCGTCTAAAAACTATTCAACAGTTAATCTCCAATAAAGTCATCAACTAAACTTTTTTCCCCATTCAACCCGTTCTTGTCATTAATCTGTGGTTGAACCATGAAAAAGAGCGCGAAAGAAAAAACTGAGCGGGTTGTTTTTTTCAGTTAATGGCTTTGCACGGCTTGTGCGTTGCTATTAGTCGAGTCGAGTTTATGTCGTGTATGTCTGCTGATTAATAGTTTTGTGTGGTGTTAGATCCATGATTAACTTATTCTGACAATTCTAGGCCAGCCAATATCAGACGTATACTCCAATTGGGGCCCCGGGGAACCGAACGATGCAAACGGCGAGGAAGACTGCGTGATCCTGCGCAGAGACGGAACCCTTAACGACGTCAATTGCGTCAACAAGTACCCCTTCGTGTGCAAGAAAACACTCGACTCTTTGGAATGGAACATCAAGTGCGACATGCCTAATATGGGTGAGGTTTTCTTTCACGACTATTATTATACCTACTCGTAGTACCGATTCAGGCAACCGTACAAGAAAAGAACACTTGTCTACTTAATTAAAGCGATATTTTTGTACAAGTACAAAAATAGTTTTATTACATCCTTTTTCGGAAAAAGCAACGTGAGAACCTACAAGGTGAACCGACGACCTCATAAAGGTGCTGGATGGCCGCTACCGACCGGGAAATGTGGAAATAATTGTAGGAGTCCTAAGTCCTGTGTCTGAAATGACGATGACGATGATGACATCCTTGTTGTAGATCCGCCTTAAATTGAAAAACCACAACTTGTTCCTTATGCAGTCTAGTCGGATAACCATGAAGTGTGTTGATTTGTGTTTGGTGCATTATGAGGTTTTAAAGTTCCGATACAAATTAATTTATAAACATAATCTAATTCTTGTCATATAATTCAGATTACGTATTCAACGAAGCTCTGGGTAAATGCTACAAGTTTCACCTCGACCCAAGGACGTGGCGTGAAGCGTACGCAGTGTGCAGCGCTGAGTCGTCATACCTGGCCATCATTGACAGCCAAGCTGAGGCTGATCATCTCGTCAAAATCACAGCAGAAGCCCCCAAGGACGATGTCCAGGGCGACTTCTTGCGAGGCGCCGTGCATTTGGGCTTCCACAAAAGGAAAGACGGATGGAAGACCATTAGAGGTAAGTTTGGCATGTTACCTATTAAGCTCATGATGGACTTGTAGGACTTGAGTTGCAAAAATGTAAACATAGTTCTAGTAAAATTTTAAAAAATCAACTAAATTAAATCAAAACTTTATTGCAACTCAAGATTATTATTAGACTAGCTTTCCGCCCGCGGCTTCGCCCGCGTGGAATTTTGTCTGTCACAGAAAAACTTTATCGCGCGCGTCCCTGTTTCAAAAACCGGGATAAAAACTATCCTATGTTCTTTCCCGGGACTCAAACTATCTCTATGCCAAATTTCATCAAAATCGGTTGCGAAATTTAAGCGGGAAAGCGTAACAGACAGACAGACAGACAGACAGACAGACAGAGTTACTTTCGCATTTATAATATTAAGTTGGGATTAGTTCAATGTCAATCACGCGGTATTGAAGAGACTTTTCTAGAGTTTTTCATATTTCATACGTTGGTCCAAAATATTTTATTTATTGCCTTCGAACCTTTTAGCCTAGGCGCAGACCAACGACTTTTAGTTGGCCGATAGTTGGGCCCGGTTCCAATTTGTATGAAGAATCGGCCGATACCGAATCGGTGTAATGTGCGCACTTTCATACATCTCCATACTGTTAACAGCCCAACTATCGGCCAACTAAAAGTCGATGGTCTGCGCCTAGACTAAATCGACATAGGAAGTAGTAGTAGAAGTACTATGGACGATTTGATGATATAAAACAGTTTAAAATACACATCTTGCTAAGCATAGCATCTTCTAACACTGAAATGGCGATTTTTACAGGTACAAAGCTAGAAAACAGTGGTTATTCAAAATGGGGCAACCAACAGCCTGACGGGGGTGACAATGAGACCTGCGGAACGATGTTCTACAACGGTCACTTAAACGACCTTAAGTGCGATCATAAGTGCTTCTTCATTTGTGAACATGATGTGGGTAGCCTAAGTAATTCTTTGGATTTTAAATTTGGAGATGATGAGTAACTTGATAAAGAAGGGTAGTTGAATGGAAAGTAAAAGGTCTATCTGATATGCTCAAACTTACTCTTTAAATAAGCACAGTAAATGTAGTGTTGTTTTAAGGTGTGGTTTTTTGGATGGTGGTCGCTTGACACCACGACCACTTTGGTCATAGCGTGCTTTGTTTGGACCCGATATTATGACTCGAATATGTCTTGTTAATTTGTGTGATAATTGGGTATTAGCCACCACTCCCCAACCCCAATAATCTAAAGCACAACTTTTTAAAAAGGCACTTCATTCTGGTCTTAAAAACTTAATTAATTTTAAATTACCTGTAAATTAAGATTTTTGGTTGCATTGTATTTGAAAAAAGTAGTTTGAGTTGACAAAATAAAAAAGTGACGTCACTGGCTAGTATTGCCATACAAAATCTATGGGAGAGTCTCATTTTGACAGTTCAAAAAGTACGCCAATTGATTGGTGGTGGCAAATACCCTATTCAAGTTTACTGTATGATGTTATTGGTATCTTAGAGGCATGCTACTGTTCTTACCTACTGTTAATATGTAAATAGTACATACCTACTCACATACAGTTTGAAAAACTTGGATGAAACAATAAACTGTCATAATTTTTTTCAGAATAATAATAGAATAAAAATAGTTATACCTACTTTACTATCTTAGGTAATATTTTAAACGATAAATGACTATGTTTTGTCTCGATATGTTTTGAAACGTGTTATTTTTAGGTATCGCGGCTGCTTAATCCGTAGGTTATGTTAGTACTCGATCCCTGGCCTGTACCTACTACTGATTGTGACTTAAAACTGTATAATAAGTATAACTAGAAATTAAATAATACTTATATGTATAGCACTACTATCTACTGCGTCTACTGCACATCGTACCTACTAAATGTTTTTGTTGCAATATAGCATCTATTGTAAATACATTAGACGCCAAACCTCTATACTATACAAATAATATTAGTGAAGACGTGTTTCATTCCACCATAAGAATCTTGCCATTGAGGAAAAAAACTAAAATCAAAGGTACAATTAAGATATGTAAGATAAATAAAATAACACCATCTCGTAGGATGATTTATTTATTTACGTTTTAATTCCTTTATTACACAAATAAATGAATTAAAACGATGTTTGTAAATTTTCTTGCATGATTTTATGATCTATTTATTAATTATACAAATAAACGAATTAAAACGATGTTTGTTAATTTTCTTACATGCTTTTTGTTTAGGTAAGTTATGCTAAATGACAGCATGTTTAGTTTATAAGATCCAATCCATTTATCTATCACACTGATTAATTTTACGCTTTGATTTTCCGGAAAATATCAGTCTATATCTACTTACCTAACTTCTATTCGGATTATCTTAACTAAGTGTTTACCTACTATTAGGTTTTTACGATGAAATAACATGATATTTCCCAAAGAGCCTTAATATTTTAAACTTCCAAAGGTTTCCCAAATGGTTTCTATAACTATGACGTGTAATAAATGATTTATTCGTAACAAAAAACCTTACTATTATAACTGACTCATAACTTCCATCTGCCTGATTTATCATTTTTAATCAGGTGAGATTTGGGCCAAGAGCTTTCCCGTTGTGGATAAAAAACTACAACAAAAAAACTTATAATGTTTTTTACGAGAATAAAGTCTTGTAAAATATCACATACCTATATGACAGTTGGCATAAAGAACATTATTATTATAATGTTAATAAATAATAAAAAAGAAAATGAAATGTCTAGATATTTTATCGTTCCTTTTATAATATTAACAGTTGTGTGCAGAAAACATAGTATTTATGAGTAAACAAGAATGAAAGTTTATCCGGTTATACAAGTAGTGGCTGTGACGTCTTAGTATCGAAATTTATACAAAATATCATAAATTATTAACATATTGAGAATCGTAAGGTCACTGGACAAAACAGTGTGACGTAAGTTTAGACTTAGGCTGAGTTGCACCACCTAACTTTTACGGTAACTATAACGTTAACCGGTGCTTTTTGTACGGAGTTTGACAGATTTTTGACGTTTCTTAAAGTTAAAGCAAAGATTACATTTTATTATTTAGTCTACCAATACACAACTTTATTAATGTACCTATTTTGTTGCTAGAAAACTAATGCGATAATAATAATTATTTCTATAAATCAGAACGCGATTAATTATAAATTATTGTGTAGTGTATCATTGATGTAACCTTTTGCTCTTTCTTCCTTATCATTGGCTTAGTTGCTTTCGCCCTCACTCGCATAAATGGTAAAATTACTTTAAGTTGGAACTTAATTATTCGCTCTATTATAAATAAAATAAAAAATAGTTCTTGCAACTCACGATCAGGCGAGTGAGCTCTACTTATGTGTGTACGTGTATTGTACATGCACATAACGATAGTGTAATGTCTATCAAAACTTTTGAAAAACAAACAGTAGCGAGCCTACACACATGTAAAGTTCACTCGCCTTCGTGAATTGCAACAACTATACTCTGTCTGATTTAAATTTAGTTCAGATGTGAGACTTTCGATGGCTCTATCCTTATTTTTTATACTTAAAACTTAAGTATGTGCACATACATCACTGTAAAGGCGAACTTAATTCCATTCGGCGTTCTACTCAAGACTTGTTTCATTGTATCAAGCCGTAGCAAATAACCGTATGGTTCCTGGCGGAATTTGGCAATGGACCGGTTTAACCGTTGGTTTTATTCGAACAAAATATAATTTTTAGAATTTCAAATCGTGTACGAATACGTGAGTTTTCGATTACTTAACCGAATCGCAATACAGTCTTACCTGGTCGATAATTGATTCTTCTGTTAGGAGAATCAATAGTAAGTATAACATTTATTAAGAAGTGATTTGATAGTAATTAAGTTAGACACTAATGCTGATAAAAAATTAGGTGTCTAATTTACTTATTTATTTGGTTTAATTGTCTAAAAATCCTATACGAGGCAAATTAACTTGGTGACTTATTGCCTCCTCTCATATCTCGAAAGTAGACATACTACTGCACTGCAAATCAAAATTAAGTTTACTTGTACATTAATATTGCCTACTTCAGATATAACGAGAAAGACAATACCCTTAATAACAGTTTTTAAGTTTCACATACTTTTCCTCAAACACTATAACTTAGAATTTCTTTGCAAATCCAGTTTTACCCGTCCCATCGAGACCGCCAATGGCATCTTATAATATAAGCTGCTAAGATGATACGTCGTGTGTAGCATCACCAGTGTAGTGGTAAAATTAGTAGTGCGCACGCGTCTTGCAGACAGTTCAAAATGTTACGATACAAATTGTTTACTTCTATTTTATTCGTCTCTATGGTGACTATCTCCCGTGAGTAAAATAATTTTTAAATATTTTTTTATTGAACTAAAGATTTTATTGGTTTAAAACAAAACACATTGATCCGGTTGTCTAAAAGATACATTAATTTATACTGTTGTTTTTGTGTATGAATAAAAAATTATTAAATAACTAGTCGATACTACGCTTCCACGCAATCTATGCACGTCATGTCGTGGCAGCTTTTAATTAAGGCTACACTATAATATGTATTTAAATTTTCTGTCCATATTATGATTTTGTATGTCTTGTTAGCTTTCCTTAAATAAATAAATAAAACAATAAAAAAGGTAAGTAAAACCATACAATTTGCCATTCCTGCTTTTTTCTTATTACGTGGATCCCAATCAAGTAAGAGGTAGTAATTTATTTCAGTAAAACTTACTATCGTGAGGTCTTTCTAATTTTCGTGTGATATTAAAAAAAAATTATAAATTCATTAATCGAGGTTACGTTCTTTCGATAATAGCAAACATTAATCATCAATGTAAAATGCAAAATTATCAGGGTTGTTATGTTATGTACCAATTTACAGATTCGCAACGGGACAATAAGTATTTTCGCAAAGACTACACATACATTGAAGCGACTGACAGCTTTTACAAGATGCACACGATTCACAAAACCTGGGAAAATGCCAAAGACCTGTGTGCCATGGAAGGTGCCACTTTATTCTACCCTGAAAATCAGGAAGAGGCAGATGCTGTGTCGCTATACTGGAACGCAACACAACCCTTCCCTCACATATTCATCGGAGCATCCAGCTTGATAGCTAAGGGAATCTTCGAAACTGTTGATGGTAAGGTAGATAAAGAAACTATTTCAGTGAAACAAGTATAAGGAACAATAAATAAAATCACCACACTCCCCAAGGTCCCAAAGCCCGTGGTATTGCATGTTTTGTGTATTCTTTTGCGACGTACGTAACCCAATCTTGTTTTAAGTTATGTTATTGTTTTTCGAATTTGGAGATTATTTTATCAACATCATTGCATCTCTACTGCAGAAGGACGACGAAGGACCTTCTCTAATTTGCCACAAGCAAATGGAGGATTATGGGCATACACGGCTACACTCCCCACGAAGGGTTACTCCACTCCTAGACGGGTTGGGGTGGCCTGATGTACCCATATTTCCCCCTTAAGTCATTTCTTACAACATCCACGGGAAGTGGGGTGGTCTTATTCCTAATCTGCCGAAACCACACTACAATAGTGTGATGATGATGGAAGACATTTATAATATTTTTTTAAAATCTTTATCTTCTTCTTATCGTGTCGACAACAAACCTACACTCCGCCCAGTGTCAGCCCAAAACTCCGCTACAAGAGCGGCGTTGTCGGCAGCATTCATTAAATCCTCCTGCGTACACTTTTTCGGGCACTCAGGGCAGGACATCGTGGTGCTTCAATGACTGGGGAACAAAACCGCACCTGCACTCCATGTTTGAGCCATCCAAGAATCCCCACTTGAACAGATTGTCCTTACTACGATATATTAATGATAATTTACTTCGTAGGCCAGCTGATATCAGACGTGTACTCCAACTGGGCTCCTGGTGAACCAAACGACTCATCCGGCAACGAGGACTGCGTGAGCATGAACAAAGACCAGACCTTGAATGATCTCAGCTGCGAGCACAAAAGCCCTTTCGTTTGCAAGAAAACGCTTGACTCTTTGGACTGGAACACGAAGTGTGACATACCATATTTAGGTAAGTAATACTATTTTACATAATCATCATCATCATTCCGGACACAGGACGTTTGTTTGACAGCCTTTATCAGGTCGTCTGTCTACCTTGTCAAGTGGGTGGACGTCGCACGCTGCGCTTTCCATGTTATTTTACAGTTTTCTGTATATTATCCTCTTCCCAATCTGTCTGTAAGTAGATAAGTTATTTTCTAAAGGCTTAGGTCGGCGAGAAAATGACAAACAGTTACTTTCGCATTAATATTAAAGATGATTTAGTTAGAATATAAAAGCGTATGTAATATTTTCGTTTTATTTGATTACGCCACCAGGTGTGTAGGATATTATGCATAATATCAGCCGGGTGAATTAATAACTAATACAGCATAATAATATTGGTCGGATATTTAAAAAGAGAAGGAAAACGATCTTGTTTAGTAACATACGTTTTATTTGTTTGTCTTTTCGACCGGGNCATGTTTTACCAGTGAAAGAAACTCAATGACGTTAGTGGTTTCAGCACAATCGCGAAAGATCATCTTACCCCAGGGGATCAACTCGTACTACTTTCCCCTATGTGCACATAGGTACATCACTGTACATAAGGCGAACTTAATTCCATTCGGCGTTCTACCCCAGACTTGTTTCGTTGTATCAAGCCTGAACACAAAAATAACCGCATGGTTCCTGGCGGAATTTGGCAATGGACCGGTTTAACCGTTGGTTTTATTCGAACAAAACATAATTTTTAGAATTTCAAATCGTGTACGAATACGAGAGTTTTCGATTACTTAACCGAATCGCAATACAGTCTTACCTGGTCGGTAATTGATTCTTCTGCTAGGAGAATCAATTGTAGGTGATTTGATAGTAATTAAGTTAGACTAGACACTAATGCTGATACGTCTTCCAGTGGGCAGGCCTCCTACTAGGTGGAGCGACGATCTCGTAAAGGTCGCGGGAAGAGCCTGGATGCGGGCAGCGCAGGACCGTGTATTGTGGAAAACCTTGGAGGAGGCCTTTGTCCAGCAGTGGACGTCATTTGGCTGAAACGAACTAATGCTGATAATAATCCAGGTGTCTAATTTACTTATTTATTTGGTTTAATTGTCTGAAAATCCTGTACGAGGCAAGTTAACTTGGTGACTTATTGCCTCCTCTCATATCTCGAAAGTAGACCTACTACTGCACTGCAAATCAAAATTAAGTTTACTTGTACATTAATATTGCCTACTTCAGATATAACGAGAAAGACAATACCCTTAATAACAGTTTTTAAGTCTCGCATATTTTTCCTCAAACATTATAACTTAGAATTTCTTTGCAAATCCAGTTTTACCCGTCCCATCGAGACCGCCAATGGCATCTTATAATATAAGCTGCTAAGATGATACGTCGTGTGTAGCATCACCAGTGTAGTGGTAAAATTAGTAGTGCGCACGCGTCTTGCAGACAGTTCAAAATGTTACGATACAAATTCTTTACTTCTATTTTATTCGTCTCTATGGTGACGATCTCCCGTGAGTAAAATAATTTTTAAATAATTTTTTATTGAACTTAAGATTTTATTGGTTTAAAACAAAACACATTGATCCGGTTGTCTAAAAGATACATTAATTTATACTGTTGTTTTTGTGTATGAATAAAAAATTAATAAAAGACTAGTCGATCTCGATACTACGCTTCCACGCAATCTATGCACATGTCGTGGCAGCTTTTAATTAAGGCTACACTTTAAACATGTATTTCAATTTTCTTTCCATATGATTTTGTATGTCTTGTTAGCTTACCTTAAATAAAATAAAACACCAAAAAAGGTAAGTAAAACCATACAATTTGCTATTCCTGCTTTTTTCGTATTACGTGGAAATAAGATTTATAAATCCTAATCAAGTAAGAGGTGGTAATTTATTTCAGTTAAACTTACTATCGTGATGACTTTCTAATTTTCGTGTGATACCTACTTATTCAAAAACGAGGTTACGTTCTTTCGATAATGTCAAACATTAATCATCAATGTAAGGTATGATATGGGAAATCAAGTGTTGAGATGGGTATTTTACACAAAACGGTTTTTATTAGTTATTTTACTGACTGAAGTCTTTTAAGGAAACGTTTTTTTAAGTAAACTTTACTGATACCTAATTACATTAATTTATACATAATAAATTGTACATAAGTGCAAAATTATCGGGGTTGTTGTTATGTACCAATTTACAGATTCGCAACGGGACAAGAAGTATTTTCGCAAAGACTACACATATATTGAAGCGACCGACAGCTTTTACAAGATGCACACGATTCACAAAACCTGGGAAAATGCCAAAGACCTGTGTGCCATGGAAGGTGCCACTTTATTCTACCCTGAAAATCAGGAAGAGGCAGATGCTGTGTCGCTATACTGGAACGCAACACAACCCTTCCCTCACATATTCATCGGAGCATCCAGCTTGATAGCTAAGGGAATCTTCGAAACTGTTGATGGTAAGGTAGATAAAGAAACTATTTCAGTGAAACAAGTGACAGTAAATAAAATTACCATACTCCCCAAGGTCCCAAAGCCCGTGGTATTGCATGTTTTGTGTATTCTTTTGCGACGTGACCCAATCTTGTTTAGTTATTGTTTTTCGGATTTGGAGATTCTTTATCAACGTCATCGCATCTCTACTCCAGAAGAACGACGACCTTCTCTAATTTGCCACAAGCAAATGGAGGATTATGGGGCCTACACGGCTACACTCCCCACGCAGGGTTACTCCACTCCTAGACGGGTTGGGGTGGCTTGATGTACGCATATTTCCCCCTTTAGTCACTTCTCACAACATCCACGGGAAGTGGGGTGGTCTTATTCCTAATCTGCCGAAACCACACGACAATAGTGTGATGATGATGATGGAAGATATTTTAATATTTTTTTTATTTTATCTCCTTCTTATCGTGTCGACAACAAACCTACACAGTGTCAGCCCAAAACTCCGCTACAAGAGTGACGTTGTTAGCAGCATTCATTAAATTCTCCTGCGTGCACTTGCTCGGGCACTCAGGGCAGGACATCATGGTTCTTCATCGACTGGGGAACAAAACCGCACCTGCACTCCATGTTTGAGCCATCCAAGAATCCCCACTAGAACAGATTATTATTACTACGATATATTTATTTCTTAGGTCAGCTGATATCAGACGTGTACTCCAACTGGGCTCCTGGTGAACCAAACGACTCATACGGCAATGAGGACTGCGTGAGCATGAACAAAGACCAGACCTTGAATGATCTCAGCTGCGAGCACAAAAGCCCTTTCGTTTGCAAGAAAACGCTTGACTCTCTGGACTGGAACACGAAGTGTGACATACCATATTTAGGTAAGACTATTTTACATAATCATCATCATCATTTCAGACACAGGACGTTCGTTGCTGAACATACCCTTCCCCAATGATTTACATATTGACCGGTTGGTAGCGGCCTGCATCCTTGTGGGTGGACGTCGCACGCTGCGCTTTCCATGTTATTTTACAGTTTTCTGTATTTTATATCCTCTTTCCAATCTGTCTGTAAGTAAGTAGATAAGTTATTTATGGTGAAGGTTTAGGTCGGCGAGAAAATGACAAACAGTTACTTTCGCATTAATTTTAAGGCATGATTTAGTTAGAATATAAAAGCGTTACATGTAATATTGTCGTTTTATTAGATTACACCACCAGGTGTGTATGATATGCATAATATGAGCCGGGTGAATTAATAACTAATACAGCATAATAATATTGGTCGGATATTTAAAAAGAGAAGGATAACGATCTTGTTTAGTACAATACGTTTTATTTGTCCTTTCGACCGGGTCGCAGCACCGACTGTGGTCATTGGCCGGAAGGCTAAAAAAGTGTTTGTTTTTGTGTACAGACGACTGTACATCAAGCTAAACACTGTAGCATCTTAAGGTGTTGTAATTGGGACGATTTTGCAATAAAATGTGTAGTCTGACGTGCTGTCTGTAGCGTAAAGTAATATTATATTTCCTATTGATTCTTATGACCTTTGTCTGTAGCTTAACAAATTCTTTCAATCACAATTTCAGACTATGAATTCGACGAGACTCTGGGCAAGTGCTACAAGTTCTACTCTGAACCAAGGACATGGCGTGATGCGTACGTAGCCTGCAGCGCAGAACTGTCATACTTGGCCATCATTGACAGTCAAGCAGAGGCTGATCATCTGGCGAAAATAACAACAGATGCCCCTAAGGAAGACAGCCAGAATGCCCTCGAAGATACAGTGTTTCTGGGCTTCAACAAATTGAGAAAAGGATGGAAGACTATTAAAGGTGGGTTTGCTTACGAGCTTATTTTGTCTAATAATTATTTATTGCTCACAAAATCTTTTAAACCAGAGGGTCCCCAACCAGTAGTACACGGATCACCGATGGTCCGCAAGATTTAAATATGGTCCGCGAACGATTTTAAATTTCGTATGGCAAATTACGCACAAACTATTCATGGTTACCTAACTTGGTTTATTTTCAGGCACAAAACTACAAAACAGTGGCTATACCAAATGGGGAGATCAGCAACCTGATGGTGGAGACAGTGAATCATGCGGTGGCATGTCCTATGACGGTCTCTTGAAGGACGCCAAGTGTGAAGACCAGAGCTATTTTATTTGCGAACATGACGTGGCTACTTCTTACAACTTACATGAGAGATTCGGTGACTAGTGTTCACGGTGATATTTTAGTTAGCTAGTTCAAATTAGTAGAGGATACGTTTTGGACGCTCTTGCATTTCTTATTAGATAAATCTTTAATTATTATAGATAATAAAAATATACTCATTTATCTGGCGATATTTTTTACTAGACAAGGTGTATTAGGGTCATCCTTAGGGTCATCAGTGATCATGGTTACCCTAGGGCCTAGGGAAATGAGAAACAATAAAGAGCGGGAAAAATGTACCATACTCGTAGAAGACCATTCAATTACACATTACTGACACATTCCTTGTCCGTGTTATATCCTCTGAATTGCTGAAAGAACTCAAAATAAAATTGAAAATAGGGCAAGTTTAAATAAAATAGATTTTAGGTCGATATATTTTTATTGATTTACAGAAATATGGATTCACACTTAAATTTTAGATCCTGGTTTACAATGGATAATCAGTTACAGTCTTTTAATAATATTTTAAGTCATGAAACTAATTCTACTTATAAATGAACCTAAAAACGATAAAAGTTGTAGTAAGTACAGTATTTTATGTGTTTCAGTTTTAGATTTTTTTCACCAAAACTGTGAATCAAAACAGAGGGTCCATAATATTCTGAGTATAGTTGTTCCAATTATGTGTGGTGGCTCACTCTGTTCGTTTTTCAAAACTTTTGACAGACATTACACTATCGTTATTTGCATGTATGTACACGTACAAACACAAGTAAAGCTCACTCGCCTTCGTGAGTTGTAAGAACTATACACATTTTACTTACCAATACCTTAACTTAAGACCTTAACCCAGTATTCATTTAATTTAAATCTTTGATTTTACCGCACTTTGATGGAATATGCATATTGTAATAATAATCGTTTAGTTTATTTACATTTTCATGTATAGCACCGTCTAAATCGATTATAATCCTATTTACTTTTTACCTGTGTTAAAACAAGAGTATATGAATGCCAAAGCAAGCAAAGATATAAATAAAGTACATAATTTGCTCGCTAACGTTCGATGTAAACTTTGATAAAATTGTAAGATAGGTCAGTTGCAGTTAACACTTAAAACTAATTAAAACGCTATTGCTATTGAGATTTCGTAGCATATCAAAACTATGAAATCACTTGTTCGCTAAACCAATTCAATATCAGTTATCTAAGTAGGTATTACATAATGATAACTAATTTGATTTTCAGGACTGAAGTTTGTTTTAGATAGAATAAGCTTTTTGTAAAATGTCAATTGCCCAACGCAGAATTCCAAATATCTCCCATCAAAATACATCGAAAATCAACATTCGAACATTATAATTCGTCTCTGAAGACGGCTTTCCCGACCAAGGGCAGGTATCGAACGAACGGTCCTCCGTAGGACAGCAGCTGTCTGACCGGCTCGCAGTACAGCACGATCCAGTACAGCATCAAAAGGTACCAGAAGATGGATACGATGCGGTCCAAAACGTATAAACTGGAACAATAAATATGTAAATCTTATTGATGAGGATTGGCTTGTCGAACTTCCTTGTCTGACTAACTGTGACTAAAGTAGGTAGAAACTTAATTCCCTTTTTAACAAAACAGACTAACTTTTGTCTGCGGCTACATTGAATTAGGGAAATTAAATACTTAATAGAATTATATAAAAAAATACGTAATTACGCCTAAAAGAAACGCTGCTGATGATCTAGCTAGGTTTTTACTTACATATTATTCTGTAATCGTGCTTTCGGCAGATTTTCCAGCTTTTCCTTCAAGCAGTATAGCTTGCCGCCAATCATGCAGTCCTCTATGTACGGCTCATCCTGGATGATGGTCAGGTCCATGGGAAACGTTTTGAAGTCCACATGGTTTAGAGAAGGCGCTAAAGACTTGAAGTTATTCGTGTCGAACCACCATTCCCTCGTGGTGAAGTATTGGAGGACTTCTAAGCCCACTGTTATTCGATTCTGGATTCGCACCATGCTGGAGACAAGTAAGTAAAAGTAAATATCAGAAATTAATTCATTAAAGGTTTTAGCCGAAACGACCAACTTTTCCCACCAAATGTTTCGTGATTCTACATTGTGGTCGTTCTCTGTTGATATTAATTTATTCAAGAGAGCCTCTACGTAACTTAATACATCACAAAGTGTAAGTTCTATTAGATTTTATTAAAATTCAAGATCTCGCAGAAGAAACGACTTCTATAACCCACTTGCTACAACACAATTTTGTTTGAATGTGTAGTTTTCAATGCCAAATTATGTATTTGTAACATATACGAGTAGCTCTTGATGTGTAATCAACGATGAAAAATACTTACAATCTCTTCTGACCGAAGATCAGCATCAAGAAGTCGATAAGATAAGCTGGTATTATATGGTAGAAGAACACGCAGAGGTTGTGAAAGAACTTGTTGTGCCTGATGTTCCCATCAGGGTACCATAAAGGTCCTTCGAAGGGGTACTTGCGGACGGTAGCTTTGCCGATGTCGAGGACTTGCTTCCAGGTCGTGTTCCTGTCGTCTCCTGTGGTCAGGTTGTAGACTGGGATCTCTGGTGGTCTGAAAATGTTATTAAAAGGAACATGTAAGAAATTTTATGAGGATAAACCAAGCAACTACTGCCACAGATTGTATTTTTCCTTGATTTTATTTATCTTTAACGTCTTTTGGAAAGTTTGTGATGCATTTTGGAACGATAGTAGCGTAATGACATCAATATCTACATATTATAACGATTGCCACATGTATGTAAGTTGCGAGAAGCTCGATCGATTTCATTTTTATTCCGTTTCTAGTGATAAGGACAAGGATTAACAATATTTTAGAAAATCTACCGGAAAAGGACATCATCCACGTTTCATTGTATATTTTTGGTCCAAAATCAAAAGTGCCGGCCAACAAAAAAAAGTGCTGTATTCTGACAGAATACGTCTGCCTTAGCATTTGTTAATATGGCACCAAAGCCGTAGCTCCACTGTGCGTCGAGTATTTGAGATCTAAAAGTCATCGACTATTCATACATTTTTTGTTCAAAATCAAAAATGTCTGCCAATAAAAAAAAAGTGCTGTATTCTGACAGAATACGTCCGCCTTAGCATTTGTTACTGTGACACCAAAGCTGTAGCACCACTGTGCGTCGTAGTATTTGAGATCAAAGTCAGTCGTTTCATATATTTTTAGAACTCAAATACCACGATGCACAGTGGTGCTACAGCTTTGGTGCCATAGTAATAAATGCTAAGGCGGACGTATTCTATCAGAATAAAGCACTTTTATTTTTTGGCCGGCACTTTTGATTTTGGACCAAAATGGATGATGTCCATTGGTGATTTAGACCGCTGGAACATTGAAATGCTTAGTAAAATGAATTGAGTAGGTAAACTTGTTTTAAAAAGTTCTTACCGTTCAGTCATGGTTCCAATTTTGTGAGCAATGACTATGATGCTATTGATGGCGATGTCGACTGGAATGACCTCGGCGTGGTAATGGCCGTAGCAGTGCATGGACCTGATGACGCCTTTTCCGGCGCCCACCATGAGGCCGATGGGGCCGTTCAGGTTGTCCACCCAGCCTGGCACTGGCTCCTTGTACGCTGGAGTTACTGGAATGAAGAACGTACAATAAATTAATAAGAGATGTAGTTCCGACAAAGTAATAGACCACTTCCATTCTTCCCTTGGAAGTCGTAAAATAAAAGGCAACTAGATTGCTCCACTACAGTGGACATGTCGCTGGATCTGGTAGACTTTATTCGAACTAGGCAGTATCAGTTTTGATTTTCAGTGCGGTTATTTGTAAGTACGACATTTCATGATGGATCAACCTGATTGATTTGATCTGATTAACTGCTTCAGGGGGCAAATTAAGCAGTGTTGCACATTGCGTTTTGTTATATCTGACACCAAACTTACGGAGAAGAAAGAAATAAAGTTGGGAAGACTTTTTAATGTTACACAAATCTTCATCATTTTATCTTCTACTACTAACCAATACTTGGTCTGACGACAGCCGCAGGCAGATTAGGGTAGTTTTCCCTGACCAACGCTTCGGCCAGCCTTTTGGAGTATGTGTACGAGTTCGGGTGCTTCTGCAGAATCGAAGGTGCCAATAAGTTGATCTGCTCGTCTGACAACCAGCTGGCAGCTCTCAAGACTTCATGTGGGTCTGCAGGCGGATCGTGTACCTGTAAAAATGGCTTTAGGTGAGTACACAAGTACCTATAACCCTAACTTATTTAGGTATGATGATTTAAAACTTCTTATTTTCAGACAGGTCGTTCTTTTCAGCCAAATGACTTCCACAGTTGGATTAAGGCCTCCCCCAAGGTTTTCCACAATGAACAGTCCTGCTCTGCCCGCATCCAGGCTCTTCCCATGACCTTCAACAAATCGTCGGTCCAGGTTTCAGACAGTAGAAAATGAATTTTGGCGTATGGTTACTATTAATAAATAAAGCATTTGAGAGGTGTGTTCAGACTTTATTAGACCTTTATTCTAAGTTAAAACCAGTGTATTTTTGACTAGAATTGTATCGTTGTAAAATACAACCCAATCGAGTAGCTGCGCACCTCGCCGGAATGCGACTCTCCCTCACACTAATCTGGGTACTTCCCCGCGTTCGCCCGATCAATGTGACGTCAGATCTGCCAGGTACGTAGTTAACTCTATTGGGTTGTAATAGCATTGTGGTAGTTCCTTACCCTTTCTGCCATTCTCTCGTAGTCCGGGTAGCAGAAAGCTGTGGAGAGGTGTATGAATGCAGCCAGTTTTTTTAGCCGTTTCGCCAGATCCAGCACTCTGAGGGTACCCTTCGTGTTCATTTCTAGACCTTCTTTGAGGGGCGCTTCTAACCTGAGACTGGCTGCGAAGTGAAAAATTACCGACACCTGAAATTTGAAAAGGTAAACTTTACAACCATATTTTTAAAGTATTCATAATTTGATATTTTATATATACATATATCAAAGCTGACAGCGAATTTAACTTGTAGTCTCGCTGGTAAAATAATTAAGGTAAAGTGCAGTGCAAGGTTTTTCTAACAGGACGACGCCACTTAAAAGGTATTTTGGTAAATAAAAAACATTAGATTTCTAATACATATTCGCATGTCCTTTGCATGGCACAACAAACCACTTGCGAAGTTAGATGTAATTACGGTTTTGCACTTTCCTCTTGCATGCAATATAGTTCCATCTGATCTTTTGATACCCTACGTTATAAACGAGCCATTTACTGACTAATTAGGTACTACGTAGTAGTTACCTATTCTATGGCATTACTTAATACAGTCAGACTAAAAATAGTATCGCTAGTTGGCTTAAAATATGTAGCAGAAAATAAGTTTCAGGACAGTCAGAGTACAGTATTTGTTCTGCGCGCGCGGGTTCGAGTCCCGCCTTAGGCAGTTTGATTTTTTCAAATTGTTTATTTAAAATTCAGTATTTGTACCGTTTTATCATCAACAGCCCTTTACAGTACACTGCTGGACTATGAGCCTCCTCCACTATAGTGGAGGGTTTTGCCATAATGATCACGCTTGGCAGGCGGGTTGGAGATCGCAGTTTAAAAGATTGATGCTGTCCGTTCTCTGTTTGATGTGTAGTCCCTAAGTCGCCTCTTACGACACCCGTCGGAAAAGTAGGGGTTCGTGACTAATGTATTCTACTCTACCGTCACCACACGGCTCGTTGTACCGTTTAACAATTTTAATTTTAACCGAATTTGTTAATTGTCTATGCTCCCCTACAATGTGACAATATAACCCCCCTTTGAAGCGTTAAATATGGATTTGATAATTAAAGGAGCGTTATAATTTCAGTGTTAACATTCCTTGCGGCCTCCTTTTGTAAAATTGCATTCGAATCCCCCTCCTTAAGGCTTGGTATTTCTGCCAAAGTAGGTATTTCGCGCTGTCAAAATCTGCGCGCGCAATACTTCGCCGAAGACAGCGCGCCAAAGAGCTCTCGCGGCTACACAGTATAGAAATACGCAGTTTAGAAATACGCAGTTGGTTAGGTTAGGTTGACTTCCTTCCGTTCAAGCGTCACACTCACAGCACTTTCTAATACAAATCATATCCAAGTGATACAAATTAAAACAACTTTCAAAATTTTTGGGAATACAGTGTGAGTCACGTTAAAGTGTACATATGAAAATAGATGAAACTAGACCTATTTTTATCGACGAAAAAGAGGTCAAAAAATTTTTGAGATTTTTTTTTAATTTTTTATAGAATTTTTTTTCTTCCAATTACTTATTGTAAAGAAAACGTAATAACTTTTAAACTAAGCGGTATATCCTGATAAAATAAAAACAGTAATAATGCTAAATAACAGGCGATACTAAAAAAATACATAAAATACCCAAAAAATGCCAACAGATAATAAAAAATGATACTTTTTGAAAAATATCTGCTTTAAATTTCGTGTTTTTTTTGTTATTTGATAAATTTCTCCAAAAAATGCCCCTATAACAGGTAGTTTTTATTACTTTGTATTATTTTCTATCGTATTATCTTTGTAAAACCAAAAATCGCATGTCTCTATCCCTATCACAACATTTGCTATGATCGTTTGAACAAAGGCCTGCCACAACATTATTCTCCGCTACAGGTAGAGACAATTTTGATTTTAACTAAAATGCTTATTTTACTTCGAAATCTTTTGTTTTTATTTGAAATCTAACTTGTCTTTATCAAAATTACAAATCTAGAGCCATTTTCAGTTTCGTTGTTAACGAAGCTTTGAATGGCGCGCCCGGAGAAGCTTAGTTCAAACAATCATTGCAAACGTTGTGATAGTGATAGAGACATGCGATTTTTGGTTTTACGAAGGTAATACGATAGAGAATAATACAAAGTAATAAAAACCACCGGTTATTGGGGCATTTTTTGGAGAAATTTATCAAATAACCAAAAAAATACAAATTTAAAAGCCGATTTTTTTCAAAAAGTATCATTTTTTATTATTTGTTGGCCTTTTTTGTGTATTTTATGTATTTTTTTAGTATCGCCTGTTATTTAGCATTATTACTGTTTTTATTTTATCAGGATATACCGCTTAGTTTAAAAGTTATTACGTTTTCTTTACAATAAGTAATTGGAAGAAAAAAAATTCTATAAAAAATTAAAAAAAAATCTCAAAAATTTTCTGACCTCTTTTTTGTCGATAAAAATAGGTCTAGTTTCATCTATTTTCATATGTACACTTTAACGTGACTCACACTGTATATTTTAGAATCGAATAAATATAGAATATAACTGCCAAAGTAAACACGGTTCAAAGAGGCGTGGNCGCGAAGTGAAAAATTACCGACACCTGAAATTTAAAAAGGTAAACTTTACAACCATATTTTTAAAGTATTCATAATTTTGATATTTTATGCGTATAAATGCTGATAGCAAATGTAACTTGAATTTATTAATTCCTAAAAAATCGTTTTTAGTAAACAATCAGACAGTAAATCAGTAAATTAATTATTATTATTAATATATTGATTCTATTGATTTATTGTGCAATACTGCAAATAATAAATAAAGTTTATTTCGGTAATAAAAAACATTAGATTTCTAATATTCGCATTTCCTTTGCACCACACAATAAATCACTTGCGAAGTTAGATGTAATTATGGTTTTGCACTTTCCTCTTGCAAGCAATTATAGTTCCATCTGATCTTTTGATACCCTACGTTATTTATAAACCAGCCATTTACTGACCAATTAGGTACCTACTACTCATAGTACTACGCAGTAGTTACACATCTATGGCATTACTTAATACTTAAATCGCTGGTTGGCTTTAAAATACTCGTAGTAGAAAATAAGTTTCAGGACAGTCACAGTACAGTTTTTGTACCGTTTAACAAATTTAATTTTAACCGAATTTGTTCATTGTCTATCCACCCCTATAATGTGACAATATAACCCCCTTTTGAAGTGTTAAATATAGATTTGATAATAATTAAAGGAGCGTTGTAATTTCAAAGTGTTAACATTCCTTGCGGCCTCCTTTTGTAAAATTGCCTTCGAATCCCCCTCCTTAATATTTGTACCTCTACCGTTATACTCAAGCAAGAAAGTGCATTACCTCATCACATATCTGCTGGAGTTGGTTTTTCTCTATGCCAAGGTCATCATAAAGTATGTCACCAGTCACGGGAACCAGTTTCTTCATAACATGTGGTTTCTCTTCTCTTATTCTCGCGAACAACTGAAAGTAATAAATTAGATAACAAATGAGAAAATCTAAATGATTTGGACCAAAGTTAAAAAGTTTAAAGTTAAACTGATATTTTGTGGATTGAGAAACTGACTCAGTTCAGACACTCAGTTTATGCAGTTTTTAAATGTTACTTAGGCTGGGTTGCACCATCTTACTTTAACTTTGACAAACGAAGTTGCAGGATAAATCCAAAGTTGAATTGGTTGCATCGTCAATCAACTTATAATGGGTCGAATGGTTCTCAGAGTTGCAATTAGAGACTTAGAACTACGGCTTTCACGCTTGAACGAAATAAGGACTTGGCATTGGCCAAATGTTGCAAAACGAGCAGTGTTTCCACATGTCTTCGATATGAGTGTGCCTTGAGTTTCGTTGGAAAAACAAGCTAGAGGCCTATTGATTGATGCATTTCCATTAAGGTTCCATTTGTCTTTATTTAAAACGGAAGCGTATTAATTTTAGGCAGTTTTTACAACAACAAGCTTTCCAAGGATCGCTTACTACATCTATATGGGACAAACGGTATCGTTATAAAAAGTTCAATCATTAAAATGGAAATCATCATTGCAAATTATACTACTTGTTGTAACATCAATAATTGCTGATCTTCTATTGTTTCCAGACGAGATGTACCACATTTGACTATGGCCACAAGTATGAGTCACATCGCAAGGCAGATAGATGATTTGATTTTTAAATGTTTGCCTTATATCCGTCTATTTTCATTGGTGAAAAAACTTACAGGGAGTTTCCACATGTCCTCAATTCTTGATTCTGGCGACTTCCCCCTCTTGGAGCGGATGACAGCGTAGACGCAGGCGACATCTGGCACGCTGTACAGAAGCTTCTCGATCAGGACCTTGCCCATCAGACCCGAGGCGCCGGTCACCAGGACCTTGCGCCCCCGGTACCATTCGTTCACTTCGGATGTCATCTGGAAAAATGGAAATGCCAGATTTTGAATGGAAGGTGGCGCCTTTTTTTTCGCACGGCCATCGACCAAACCTTGCTTTTATATTACAAAATGGTGTAATAAACCAAACTTACTATGACATGTATATATGTCTGTACATAATAAACCATTTTGTAATATAAAAGCAAGGTTTGGTCGATGGGGCCGCGCGAAAAAAAAGGCATCAATTTCCAGCATTGTCTTTTACAAAGTATGTGTGTTTATCGACTCAAAAACTGAATCCCACTACGCTACTTCGACACTACTTAGCGTCTGAATAAAGTCTACTCGCTACTTATTAGCGTACAAATAACGTTATGTTGAAAATTGTGCAAATAAATATTTGACTTTGAAGAAAACGTTTGTCGAAGTTCATTTAGTACGCCGGTACACTGCTGGAAAAAGGCGCACCTCCTTTAAGGATTTCCATATTAGCGACCGGTACGAGTAAAATGAAATAAAATGTGCCATTGGGTGTTAGATGAAATAACATTTAATTTAATTCGATCTTCGTGATGGAAAATCAACACGTCAGTTATGTGACAAAACATCTCACTGTTTCGTATGATGTTTAAAGGATTGTGACTCAGTCATCGTAGATCACTAGCGTTTCCACTTTCCAATATGGAATCTAGTAAGGCAACTTTTAAAGGTTCACTTTAGGCTAAGTCTAGGGTGGTGCTGGTGAATCTAGCAAAACAGGTTTCAACAGAGACAACAATGTATTTAAGTTACAACAGTAATGTATGTAAGTACACTTCAGTTGAAACACTGTTTTTCCAAGCAAACGTACCTAATACTGTTAAAAACCTGTTATGCCTTTTTATTGTTTTCTTCATTATACCTACGTCAAGTTAAATAACTATTACAATTATTTAATTTATAACCATTTGTGTATGTTCAATGTCTCCTGTATACCAATTGTATATCAATTACCAATTTACCTAGAATAAATGAAATCTTCTCTTTAAAAAATATTAAGTGAAAGAAAATAAAACTTTAGAGCGTTTTGAATTAACAACGTTTACTGAGGTAGGTAAAAGTGGTTGATTAAATCGCTTTGTAATCTTTTAACATCAATGAATCGTTTAAAATTTTTACGATACCCTCATAAATATCTATGTTAATAATTATTCTCTCTTTCGTATCATCGTGTATAAGCCAAGGCGCAGACCACCGGCTTTATGAAAAATCAATCTGTGTAATGTGCACTTTCATACATCTCCATACTGATTCCATTCCGTCGCCCGACCCAACTATCGGCCAACTAAAAATCGTAGCTAGGCTNTCATCGTGCACGCCAGCTGCACGCGTTGGTCTGGTCTAACCTTTACCAACTATTAATTTGATAAAATATTGTTGTTTACTATTTCTAAGGCAAGCACAAATATTTGTAGTAGCACTTAAAATGTTACAGCATTTTGCAAGATATAAATCACAAACAATGTATGACTTATTACTTAGTTTGTTCTATTATACTTAAACTTTATTACAATTTGTTTAAATATTTCGCTCAAAGTTATACTAATGAACTATCAAACTTTGTAGTTAATTAAAATAGTGGTGAAGTATAATGTTGCACGCATGCTGGTCGCGTAGGTTCAGCTAATTATTTTTGTTAATAATACCCACTCTAATTATTTCTTAGGTGTGATGAACATCACTAATACCGTCTTGATTCTGTTACTACTTCGAAAGACCGCAGTAATTGAGTACGAAGTTACTTATTGAGGTATGAATTTGATGTAATTTGCACAAGTTTTCACCTCACATCTCGTGTGGTAAAAGTTTCGGAGAGCAATTAGTGGATTTGTGAGAAGTTGTAACGAGTATACAGGGTGAGTCAGAAAGTGAATCGTGATAGTGTTCATCCCAAACTGAACTCTATGGATGTCATAATATTAATCTCAATTAGATTCATCATCTACGTGGAAAAATAAAACAAAAGAAGTCTGAATAAAAATTACAAAATTATGTTTCAAAAAAGAATTATTTAAGTTCACTTATGACTAACGGCGTGTCAGCGGCTTTATTGCAAAAGAAACATAATTTTGTACTTTCTGTATTTTTTGACAATATGTCAAAAAGGGTTGATGGGTAGACTGCATTACTTTACAAAGTAATTTAACAGTAATATCTAAAAGTGAAAAGAAAATACAAATGCTTTTTAAATGTACCTACTACAAAAAGAACACCATTTATGAGTGAAACCTTAATAAATCAACTCGACAATTAACTTACAGATTTGCTCGCGTTTCAACGAGCTACAGTTCTGTCTTAATTGTGTTACATTTTTCTCTTTTTATTTCTTTTCTTTTTAACCTTGTTTGAGGTGAGTTTGTAGACTGATTAAATAGAAAATTGTTAATAGTTTTAAACGAGAACTAAGACCCAGCAGCTTAGCGACTGGCGGTTTAATTAAGTTGAAGTTAATTAATCATAATCAAGTTAATTTACATTCGTTATTTGATTTCATTTATTAATTGTAAAGATTTAATAATGCTTAGAAATTCATCTTAGAGATGTTTTATTTAATTTGATTAAACTTGCTCTATAAACGCGAAAGGCTCTGTCTGTCACGTACAAATAAGTTTTTCAGTCCAAAATAATTCGATAACTTGTTTTTCTTGACAACAGACCTAAAAAACGACTTTCATGATTTTTTGTAGGCACAGCAAGGTCTAATTTACAGCAAAATACACGAATGCTGACACATATACTCGTAGAGGCACATAGCTCGTAGAGACAGAGACGATGGATGTTGGGGCAGAAAAGTTCTCGAGTGGCGACCACGGGCTACTAAGACGTAGCGTGGGCAGGCCTCCTACTAAGTCGACCGACGATCTGGTATAGGTCGCGGGAAGAGCCTGGATGTAGGCAGCGCAGGACCGTTCATTGTGGAAAACCTTGGGGGCGGCCTTTTTTCCAGCGGTGGACGTCATTTGGCTAAAACCCGAAACACAATAGCTCAAGGTAATAATGACAATGTAAAAATAAATACACCAAGCGAAGTAGGCTGTACACCTAAATTAGACTCAAAGGTTGGCTGTCGATTATCAGCAAAAATATTATTTTTAGAACAAAGGCCGCATCCTAATAATACACCAAATAGACAGAAATAGCTTACCATTCGGAAACATCAATCAGGATCGGATCTCAACGTAAACAGTGCTAGCTAATTGTTCATTTGAAATGTTTGCATGGTAATTTAGCATTCGTAATAGAACTGGTAATGATAAATGATACCCACTCAGTCTATGATGGAATCGTGTAAATAAACTATTTTAATAAATTGCACGTGGGTTGAAAATGAAAAGTGGAAAGCGTTTTTTTGTAGCATCATATTATTTTGTTGTTAAGAAGGACTATGATAATTATAGAGAAAAAAACTCAACTTAGCTAAAAAAAGTTACTCTACACCAGACCAAAACAAGCAAGAACTGAATGACAAACGCGTAAGACCAAAGGACATGGACAGACATATTTTCTTAAAAATATCATAATTGTTAGTAGATAGGTAAGTACTCAAATATTTAAAGTCAATATTTTCAATAATTCACCGCTTGCCAGCTTCAGTATCATCATCATAATTTCAGTCACAGGACGTCCACTGCTGATTACATAGGCCTCCCCTAATGATTTCCACATCGCCGCGGTTGGTAGCGGCCTGCATCCAACGCTTTCCTGCTACCTTTATGAGGTCGTCGGTCCTCCTTTTGGGTGGACATCCCATGCCTCTGTATAAAGAAAAATATAAGAAAGTATTTTTGTACTCAATTGAAAGGTTTCAATTTTACTTTTAGTGAACCCATTTAGCGCTGTGAGCACTCAAGAAATTTTCCGATGAGTGAAGAGTAAGTATTTGTAAAGGGAAAATACGAGTAAGTAGATTCTTAATTAGGTTTGCTGAAGCAGTATATGAACTTTCACATACGATCTATGCTATAATCTGATTTTGTTTATGTATGTGTAACCCACATTAATCCATTGTGGAAAACAATACCCGCTTATCTGGATTCAATACTCGTACCTACGTCCGATGCTGAATAGTTCGCTATATTCAATAGTTAGCGTAAACCATTATAATTATGAGGGATTAATATTGATATAATGTGGTATTTGTGGTTTTATTTCGAAATGCAATATTAAAGCTGTAATGGCTTTAAGTTTTATCACTACATGTCACAATCACGAGACAAACATTATTTTTGCAGCTACTACATCTCGTAATATTATATGGTTTATCAATATCGAGTCATAAATATCAATGCCAAAACATATACACAGCTTCAGGGTTCTTTCTATTTTATTTTCTGTGAAAGTTTATAAAAAATATTGTATTCCAAGTAAGAAAAATATTCGTTCATTAGCAACATTATATTCGTAAGATCGTCGGTAAACTGTGACAAGGGACCCTTAATTGCAGATCAATAAAATTGCAGATAATACGAAGGGTCTTTAGTTAGTCTGCTCATCCCTAATCCCTTTGTTGGTGAAAATGACCTTTAGATACTGAATGAATATTACCTTCTTGACAAGGGAAACTTATGTTAGAGGGTTACTTGTGTGTAGTTTGGTAAGTAAACCAAAATCTATATGTATACTATAAAATAAATATAATAAAGCTAAAGGCTTTGTTTGTTTGGTTGAACGGGCTAATCATTTGTATTGGATAGTCCACTTACCGAGGAAGGCTATACCATCACGCTACGACTAATAGCAGAAGAGTATTAATATATTCACATGTAACGAAGTCGCGGACACTTCTTATTATAAAATAAATAAACATGCTAAAATAAAGAATAAATCCTATCAGCAACAAACGGCTGAACGCTTACCACCAATTCCAGACCCGAAAAATATAGGATTCCGTGCATCAAAGGACACGTTGAATCGTCAACACAATTATGCAGTACCAGATGCCAATGGTGGTCCAGGATTGGACCCCTGTTGTCACAACCCACACCATAAAAGGAAAAGAA